TCACCCTGCTAGGTAACATTGTCAGTGCACCTCTGGTGAAGTGTCGGTGTTCTGTCCCACTTGTTATTAACTAACAAACATAAAGGATCGCATACCCACGATCAATAAAACTAATGTAATATACAAAATACCATGCAAGGACTGTGAGAAATATTACATAGGCCAGACTGGAAGAAAACTGACAATAAGGATAGACAGACACTAACTAGCCATCAAGAGACATGACCAATTCTCACTGGTCTCAATACACACGGACAAAGAACACAAATTCGACTGGGACAACACATCCATAATAGTACGAGCCAAATAGAGACATGCCAGGGAATTCCTGGAGGCCTGGCATTCCAACCGGAACTCCATCAATAAACACATTGAGAATTGGACCCAATATACAAACCACTGATAAACAGAACCTGAAGTAATACCAACCACCCCAGCAAACCAAGGCATATTAATTAGAAGTGGGACAGAACACCAGCACTTCACCGGAGGCGCACTGACAATGTTACCTAGATGGTGACAAGACGTCTGCAATCAAAAACACCAGCTCAGTAAGCAAGTCCACAACCTCAGTAAGGGGAAGTCATTGTACAATGTAGGATGATATCACATGGACAGGTGAAGGAGACAGAAAAATAAATGAAATTCAATCTGAAAAAATGTCAGGTAATGAGGAGAGGAAGGCAAACAAGGCAAGGGCATAGACAATAAATGGCAAAATACTGAGGAGCGTAGAGAAACAGTCGGACCTTTCAGTGAAGTGAATGTTCACAGATTCTCAAGGCAGTAGGATAGTTAGAGATGGATAAGTACACTTAAGAGGGAAATTAGGAGGGCAGATAAGGGTACATTGCTTTGGTAGATAAGGTAAAGGAGAATCCAAAGATATTCTTAGAATATATTAAGGGCAAAAGAGCAACGAGGGAGAGAATTGAGGCCCTTTAAGATCGTTGAGGTTGTCTGTGTGTGGAATCAGAGGAGATGGGTGAGATCCTAAACAAAAATTTCTTGTCAGTATTTACCATGAAGAAAAACATGGAAGCTAGGGAACTCAGGGAAGTAAATAGTGATGTATTGAAAACAGTCCATATTACAGGAGGTGCAGGAAGTCTTAAAACGTATAAAGGTCGATAAATCCCCAGGGCCTGATCAGTGTATCCTAGGACACTGTAGAAAGCTAGCAAAGAAATTGCAGGGCATCTAGCAGAGATATTTGTATCACCAACAACCACAGACGAGGTGCCGGAAGATTGGAGAGTGGTTAATATTGGGCCATTATTTAAGAAAGGCTGCAAGAAAAAGCCTAAGAACTATAGACCGGTGAACCTGACATCAGTGGTGGTTAAGTTGCTGGAGAGGATTCCGAGAGACAGGATCTATGTGCATTTGGAAAGGCAAGGACTAATTAGGGATAGTCACCATGGCTTTGTGCACGGGAAATCGTGTCTGTCAAATCTGATTTGAGTTTTGTGAAGAATTGGCCAAGAAGATAGATGAAGGCAGTGTGGTAGATGTTGTATACATGGACTTTAGCAAGGCCTTTGACATGATACTGCATGGTAGACTGGTTAGTACGGTTAGATCACATTGGATCCAAATAGAGATAGCCAATTGGATACAAAATTGGCTCGATGGTAGGAGACAGAGGGTAGTAATAGAGGATAGTTTTTCAGACTGAAGGCCTGAGACCAGCGGTGCACCACAAGGATCAGTGCTGGGTCTACTGTTGTTCGTCATTTATATAAATGATTTGGATGAGAATATAAGAGGCACGGTTAGTAAGTACGCCGATGACACCAAAATTGATGATATAGTGGACAGTGAAGAAGATTATCCAAGAGTACAATGGGATCTTGATCAACTGGACTAGTGAGCCAAGGAATGGCAGCTAGAATTTAGTATAGATAAATGCAAGGTGCTGCATTTTTGTCCATGTTAGCTCTTGGCAATAGTAACTCACTTAGTCCCACAATCCTACTTTATCCATGCAGCGCAGCAATTGTTTTCCTTCAAATACTGAACCAATACACTTTTCAAAGCCACAAAAGAACGTGTCTCTATCAAACTCTCAGGCCATGCATTCCAGACTCCAAGACCTTCTTGCTTTTCCTCAAGATGCCATTGCTCCTTCTACTCATCAACATAATTCTGCACCCTCTAGCTTTCAATCCTTCCATTAATGGGAACAATTTCTCCCTATTTCCTCTGGTCAGGCTCATCTTGACTTTGAACACCTCAATCAAATCTTCTTTTAATTCTCTTTTCTGTTAGGTGAACAGCCAAAGCTTTTCCAATTGAACCTCAGAACTAGAGTTAACATTTAACAGAATGTGGTCAGGAATTCAGATTCGATAGGCTGTGATTATTTTATTTGGAATAGACCAGGCTAAGGGTGATTTAATCAAGGTGTTTAAAATTTTGTACAGGCCTGGATAGAGGGGGTGGAACAAATCTGTTTCTGTTAGTACAGAGATCAATAACCTAGGTGCTTTGACTTAAAGTCATTAGTATCTTACAGAGTAAAATTTCTTCCATACTGTCCAATTAAACAATCACAGGCCAGGCACATGCGTTAACTGGGAAGAATGCATTAATAATTGAGCCCCACTGTTCCATAAGCCATCACAAAATGAGTAAAATCCCAATGAGACCACCAAACTGACCAATATACCTGACTGACTGCTATTCAAGACAAAAAAAATTCCCACCAGGTTTTATCATAAACAGAGAATAATTAAGTACTGTAACACATTTAACTTGAACAAGTGACAGAGAAAAGCATGGCTTCCTAATCTACTCTGTACAACTTAAAACTATACCCCTTTAAAACTCCAACTATACAGACACACACACACACACAATTACAACAGTCATAATACAGATGCTTTGACACATATAATGGGTTTAAAATGACATATATGGGGAACAAAGCTCAGATTTCAAGGATGGGTTAAATTGTTTTTCACAACCCCTTTTGATTTCAGTAATGATAATAAGCTGTTGTGTGTAAAGTGATGGTTGTCCTTCACTTTGATAGTTGACCCTGCAGATTTACGTCTGATTGTGTTTGAAATCACTCTCAAGCTTTCTTGTGTTTTTTCTGTCTTTTCACTCACACCAGGAGGAGGAAGCTGTTTTCGGTTTTCTGGCTCCAAGGTCTCTGGATGCTTGTCACTTATCAAATTGCAGCAATCTGCAGCTCGACTGAACCAAGGGCTGTTTTCACGCAGTTTTTCCTTAACTCAAAACCTTTTGGTGCTGCTCAAAGAAGTGATTTCATTGCTTCAAAAGCAGAATTCTCTTGCACAGCCAAAAATGTGCATCACTTGTATTTTCCAAGATGGAAAACCCTCCCAATAATTCAGTGTACAAATTCCCTCTCAGTTTATAATCTTAATGGGAAAATATATCGTTCCTTACAACAGCAAGGGGTTAAATAGGAAGACTCTCCCTCTACACCGTTAGAGCCATCTTTAATTTTTTGTTAATCTTATTCTTTTATCCATTTTGATTTAGAGCTGTGAATTGGGAACTGAGGGAAAAAATACTTTTGGGCTGTGGGTGACAGCTTGTCAAAATAAAAACAGACAAAACAAGCTTTTGTCTACTCGAAAAGCCAGGCCTGGGAGTTATTTGCAGGTTGGTTCCTGACCAAAAGGTTTTGCACCATCACTGGAGAAGAGTGGTGTGTTTAAACAGATAACAGAAGTAGGCTATTAACAAGGTCAGTGCCTGGGAATTAGTTCCAGCAAGTCTGGAACAGACCTATGCTCGAGCAGATAGTTGTTGTTGAATGGAACTGGGACCTCCTGCTGAAGAGTGATCAGAGTTTGAATTGGGTTTTGGACAGAGTTTTCAGTGAAAAGGAATCTGGCCATTGATGCTACAGTATGAAGATTTGAAAGTTCCCTGCGTAACCACCCTTATCATCTTTTGCAAGTTCAGAGAATAGAAAACTCAGTTATACCTACTAACGCCTTTCTTTACCTGGATGAACTGACAAGGTGTCTCTGATTGTCATCCTCAGTAAATCATTCTATGCATGTCAAACAATAGCCTGTGAAAATCACTTAAGCAATCTTGCCAGTTTTGTTATTTTCTTTTTATTTATCTCTTAACTATATTTGTCTTTTCTGTAAATGTAAAAATAATGTTTTGGGGTTTACTGCAAAGAACAATTAGATTACTTTGTTGTTTAATTTTACTCTGCTAAAGATACTGTATTGTTAATAAATTGCTAAGTCTTCAGTTTAAGATATAAAAACTGGTGCCTGGAATTGATTATTCAGACTCTGGGATTGGTTATTCAAAATGTCTGGTTAGGAACCACGGGAGTCAATTTTGAGGGTCTTTGAAGGCTTTAATGTTAATGTGTTGCAATAGAGATAGGAAGACAGATTGGCTTCAGCTGTCTGTCTCTGTGTTTTAGCAATACTGTCCCCATCAAACTCCCCAGGACAGTAACAGCATCAGGTTAGATTCAGAGTAACACTCCCCCTGCACCCTTCCCATCAAACATTTCCAGGACAGGTATAATACAGGATAGATACAGAGTCAAGCTTCCTCTACTCTTTTAAACGGAAACTAAAGTTCCCATTTTCTTTTAAACTGAAATTACAGTTCCCTCCACACTGTCCCCATAATAAACTCCCAGGGTAGGTACAACATGGAAGTTAGATATAGAGTCAAACTTCATCTACACCATCCCCATCAAAGACTCCCATTGCCTTGGGTTAAATACAGAAGTCAACGCAAAAGACTTTGCAATAACATCAATAAAATACACATGAATCTTTAAAACTTGACTATCTCATGATTAGAAAGGGCATCTGCAGCATCTTTGAGTCGGCATGGACAAGATGGGTCGAATGGCTCCCTTCTGTGCTGTATAATTTCTGTGGTTCCTATGAAAGCATTTATCTGGCTCTCCTGCTGAGATTGTCTGTCGACCCTACAAGACTAATGGAGTTATACTGGGAGAATGGCATCATCTCACAAACCTGTATCAAATCCAGAATTCCCAATTCACTCTCAGACGAGTCAACACAAAACAGGAAGTAGAGAGTAGCATAGTGTCGATATATCAACTTGTAGTCAGACCCACCAATCAAACTGGAACAAATCAAAAACATTATGAACAGTTAAAAAGTAGCATTTAGATTCTTGAGTTGACCAATAACAGTGCGAACAGGGACAACCAGTAGCATCTCACGCAATTGGGTTCAGTGTTTTCGGGAATCAGATTGGATTTTTTCTACAAGTTTGTTCCCAAATTGGCTGTTGGGTTTCCACATGAAAGACATTTGGGAGATTGAGATTTATGCATTAAACTAATTACAAAGCAAGCTACACCACAGACCCAGAGTTTATAGGCACAGTGATCAAAAGACCATACAATTGGTGTGAGTGGAGTGTCAGATGATAAGTCTCTGCAGGTGACCAGGAGTGTTGGACGGTGAGTAAAGTGTCAACAGCTAAATAACCAGCGAAGGGGTGACCTATAATCTAATTAAGTGAGGCAGAGAGATAATTACAAAAAATTAAAACTCAGGTGGTGCTGGAATCGCAGGTCAAATTCAAAACTGTATAAACTAATTAAGGTAGAGAAGTCATAACAATTTATTAAGATGATTCTGTCAAAACAGGACAGAAAGGAACATTTTACAGATGCAGAAGTGTGGTGGGTTCACTTGTAGTGCGACATAAACACAAGATCACTGTTGAGGCTATCTTCATGGGTACGGGACTTGGCTATCAGTTTCTCCTCGGTGATTCTGCGTTGTTGTGTATCTCAAAGGCTGCCTTGGAGGATGCTTATCCAAAGATCAGAGGCTGAATGTCCTTGACCACTGAAGTGTTCCCTGACTGGGAGGGAATATTCCTGTCTGGCAATTGTTGTACAGTGTCCATTCATCTGTTGTCATAGCATCTGCTTCGTTTCACCAACATACCATGCCTCCGGGCATCCTTGGACTCTCATTCTTAGACACACACATGTCCATCAGGGACAGACACCTCAGTACCTCCTCTACCGCAAACGCATGGACAACCTCACGATGCTGTACTTCTCTAGTTTCCACCCTAAACGTATTTTAAAAAACCATCCCCAAGTACAAGCCCTGTGCATACAGAGGGTCAGCTCAAATGAGGAGGAATGCGACAGGCTCCTGGAGGTTTTGAAGGACGCCCTCATTAGAACAGAATATGATGCTCAACCCTACAATTGCGGGTTCCAACGTGCCACAGCGAAAAACCACAACAACCTCCTCAGAAGGCAGACACAGGATATGACCGAGAGTACCCTTCTTTGTCCAGTGCTTCCCTGAAGCAGAGAAACTACATTGTGTTCTTCACAGTGTTCAACATGTCATCGATGATGATGAGCATCTCGCCAAGATCTTCCCTACACCTCCACTTCTCACCTTCAAACAACCCCCAAACCTTAAACAGACCACTGTTCACAGCAAACTACCCAGCCTTCAAGACAACATCGAGCACAACACCACGCAACCCTGCCACGCCAACCTCTGCCAGACATGTCAGATCATCGACATGGACACTACCATCACAAATGGGAACACCACCCACCATGTACACAAAAAAACTCACGTGACTTAGCCAATATTGTCTATCTCATATGCCACAGAGACCTGTCACCTGCAGAGACTTACCATCGGACAACTCTACTCACACCAGTCGTATGATCTTTTGATCTCTCCGCCCTTGATCACTCTGCCTATAAACTCTGGGTCTGTGTGCTCTGCTCTCTCACTGCACCTGATGAAGGTGCTGCACTCCAAAAACTTGTGTGATTTCAAAAAAACCTATAACCTGGTGTCGTGTGACTTCTGACTTTGTCCACCCCAGTTCAACACCAGCACCTCTACATCTTGAATTCTCATCTGAGGGCAATTCAGAGTCAACCACGTCACTGAGTCTTGAGGCATATGTAGGCCAGACTAGGTAAGGATGGCAGATTTGCTTTCCTATAGGACATTAGTGAACCAGAAAGGTTTTTACAATAAACATGATTAATATCGTCACCATTACCAAAACTAGCTTTGTATCGCAGATTCATTCATTGAATTAAAATTCCATCAACTGACATGGATGGCACAGTGGCTAGTACCGTTGCCTCACAGCGCCAGGGACCTGGGTTCGATTCCACCCTCGGGTGACTGTCCATGTGGAATTCGTACTTTCTCGCCGTGTCTGAAGAAAACTGCGTTCTATGAACTGTACCACCAGAGAAGTAGAGAAGGTTTTAAACAAGTCAGTGAGGAGTTGGAGTGGCATGGTGACTCAGTGGTTAGCACTCACAACACCAAATATCTGGGTTTAATTCCAGCCTCAGGTGACTGTCTGTGTGGAGTTTACACATTCTCCTCTGTGTGGGTTTCCTCCAGGTGCTCCGGTTTCCTCCTGCAGTTCAAAGATGCTAAATTGCCCCATAGTGTCCCAAAGATATGTGAGCTAGGTGCATTAGCCAAGGGAAATGTGGGGTAATGGGGATTGGGACGGGTCTGGGTGGGATGCTTTTTGGACAGTTGTTACAGGCTTGATGGACCAAATGGCCACTATCTGCATTGTAAGGATTCTCTGATGTGGTGAGATTTGAATCTTTCCCCACAGCATTAGCCCAAGTCCCTGGTTCACCCATCCAAATCACCAATGGACCTGCAGCAAGCTTCCTCTACGTATCTGCTTTGTACACGTACGAATTGTATAGTTCATGCTGCCTCTCTACATTCTTCCTTGCAATTGCATCACTTCACAAAACTGCATTAAATTTAATCCACTGTATCATTATGTCAATATGAGTTCTATTGCTAACCTTTTGATCTTATTTCAGGATTACAAGAGGGCAGGTTTTAGGGTAATAACTGAATATGGAAATGTTGTAGACTGCAGGATCATAACACAATTTACTAGCGAGTCATCAAGACTCACTCCAGATATGAGTCGATAATTTTACTGTATAAAAGTAAAAGTGAATTCAGCACTGTCTGGGAGCTGAATTAACATAGTCTGTTCAAAACTTATATGATTGTTAATTAAATTATTCACATTAGTTCAGCTTCATTATATTCTCAGTTAGGAAAACCAACACAACATGAAAGTGAACCATTTATTCCTACTCATTTATTAATCAATCCTCAATGCAAGCTCATTAAAGAGCCCCAATCTCATAAACTCTACTCCTTTTGTGACTTCCTGAAAACCTGAATAAACCAAATCCACTGCTGCTTTTTCACCCACCATGTTTGCCACACCCCCAAACATTTCTAAGACACTGTGAGTGGCACCCCACCTATACAGGAGCCAAGCTGTAACAATCTGTCCAGACCAACCTCCACTTGAGAATTTCATCGACAATCCACCCACTCACCTGCCACCTTCCAAAAAGTTGCAAACGTTTTCATCTCGCCTGGAGACTAGATGGAACGTCTCTCGGATGATCTGCTGTTGCATGTCCTCTGACTGAAGTTTCAAAACAAACATACATAAGTTTTTGAGAAATACTGAAGCCGCTGCTGTGGTGCTCAAAGAAACAATCAGAGCACCAATCAACATTACAACTGAACAGCGAGTGTGTAGTCTTCAGTCAAGAAACAGAAAGACAGAAGCACATGCAGATCTACTAGAAATAAACAGGATATACAGTATGCAGTCTTTCAGAACAATATCTGTATTACAAGGGATAGAATTACATCAATGACTGCGCATTGGTTCTCAAATTATTTCATTACGAATCTCAGATACAGAGTGCCAAAATTGCACCAACAGCACTCTTCTTTATTCTTGAGCTGGGGGATAATGTATACTAAATAAAGGAAAATCTTAAACACATTATAAACACTAAAGAGCAAATATAAAGGCAGATTTTGCAAGTAAGATTTTCCACAGAATGGGGTAGAAATGAAAGTCTCCAGCTTAGTACTTCCAATTATTAAATGTAATCATACGATCTAAGGACAGCAATTGGGATCTAAGGTAACAGACAGAAAAAGAAAAGACTTATACACTGAAACTGCTTAAGGAATGGCAACATCATGTTTTACCAAGTTGAGTTTTATAAATAACAAAATTGAAAGGATCAATAAGGTCGTTTAAAATGTTTTCTAAAGTACAGCCAAATTGACTTCAAAAAAATTGAAATGTAAGGGGTAAGGTCAGGAACTAGGACATGGTGGTGACAGGTTAAGTTTTATTGTAGAGGAATTGCACTGTGGGGTCCCCCAGGGTTCAGTGTTGGGACCCCTGCACTTCCCCATTCATATTAATGCCTGTAATCTGGCCACAGAGACATTATGAAAAGTTTTGAGAAAGGTTATCAAGACTGAGGAAAGCGGCGGGCTAGATGATTTTATAAAGCGGGGCTTGTAAGGAGCTGTGTTTTGGAAAAGACTCTCTCTGGGCCATAGCGGAGGGTAAAGGCCAGAGGCTAAAGCGGGACAGTTGGAAAATTTACAAACAGGGAATTTTACACAAAACCGCTTTTAAGTGAAATATTCGCCCAAGAGGCGGGGGAAGCCAGCTCCCGGGCTCGGGTACTCACGAAGCGCTCAAAGAAGCGGGTGAGCCGCGGCTTCCCGTGATTATTAAAGATCAGGATCGCCTTAATCATCCTGCCATTTACTAGTGCAACACCACTTCCGGTCCCCCCACCGCCGCCGCCTGGCGCGACATCACTTCCGGTCCCCCGAAACCCAACCCGCCGCCTGGCGCGACGTCACTTCTGGTCCCCCCAAACCCACCCCCGCCGCTGCCCGGTGCAACACCACTTCGTTACTGCTACCGAGCATTCAGTGTGGAGTTGGAGGAGCACAGCAGTTCAGGCAGCATCAGAGGAACGGGTCGGGACCCTTCTTCAGAAATAGGCTGAAAAAATTTCTGAAGAAGGATCCCGAACCAAAACGTCAGTTTTCCTACCCCTCTGATGCTGCCTGGCCTGCTGTGCTCCTCCAACTCCACACTATGTTATCTCTGACTCCAGCATCTGCAGTTCTTACCATCTCTACTCATGAGCATTGTTAGTGGAGCGAGTGGACATGGTGCCAATCAAGCGGGCTGCTTTGTCCTAGATGGTGTTGAGCTTCTTGAGTGTTGTTGGAGCTGCCCCCATCCAGGCAAGTGGGGAGTATTCCCTCACACTCCTGACTTGTGCCTTGTGGCTGGCGGACAGGCTTTGTGGGGGTTCTTTTATTCATTCACAGGATCAGGGCATCACTGGCTAGGCAGCATTTATTGCCCATTCCTAAATGCCCAGAGAGCAGTTAAGAGTCAACCACATTGCTCTGGGTCTGGAGTCACATGTAGGTCAGACCAGGTAAGGATGGCAGTTTCTTTCCCTAAAGGACATTAGTGAACCAGATGGGTTTTTTCCCCAACAATCAACAATGTGTTTACAGTCATCATTAGACTCTTACTCCCAGATATTTATTGAATTGAAATTCCACCATCTGCCGTGGCAGGATTTGAACCCGGGTCCTCAGAACATTATCTGGGTCCCTGGATTAACAGTCCAGTGATAATACCTCCCCATGGTTACCACAATCATCTGCACCTCTGACTTGCTTTTGTAGCCACTAACACAAACAGAAGTTGCTGGAAAAGCTCAGCAGGTCTGGCAACATCTATGAAGAAAAACATCAGAGTTTTGGGTCCAGTGACCCTTCCTCAGGACCCAAAACGTTAACTTTAATTTTTTCTTCACAGATGCTGCCAGACCTACTGAACTTTACCAGCAACTTCTGTTTGTGTTCTTGACTTACAGCATCCGCAGTTCTTTCGGTTTTTTGTAGCCACTGTTGATATGACTAGCTCAGTTCAGTTTCTGGTCAGTGGCAACCCCCAGGATGTTGACAGTGGTGGATTCTTACAGGCCGTATAAACTGCTCACCCACAAGTGACCCCTTCAACTTTCTATCTCTTATCTCTATCCAAAAAAAAAATCAATGCTGGGTCCACTGCATTTTGTCATTTGTATAGATGAATATGTGAATATAGGAGGAATGGTCGGTAAGTTTGCATAACACCAAAATTGGTGGACAAGATCAAAAATCACTCAACACCCAGTTGTAGTCGAACAGGTTTATTTGAAGACACAAACTTTCAGAGTCTCATTCCTTCTTCAGGTGTCAGTGAGAGAGGTAGCATCGGACACAATTTATAAGCAAAAGATCAAAGGTCATAGAAATGATGCAGTGTTGAACAATCCTAACATGGCTGTTAAATCTTTAATCAGTTAGAAAGGATTAATATGCAAATTCCCGAATTTCTTTCACTAAGCTAAAGGTTTTATCAGTTCCCTCAGTATACTGCACTTCTCTAGCTTCCACCCTAAACATAATAAAACAGCCATCCCCAATGGACAAGCCATACGCATACACAAGATGTATTCAGATGAGGAGGAACATGATGGACACCTGAAGATGCTGAAGGACGCCCTCATAAGAACAGGATACAATGTTCAACTCATCAATTGCTGTGCCAACATGCTACAGCAAAAAACCGTAATGATATCCTAAGACAGAATTGGGATATGTCTGATAGGGTACCCTTCATCGTCCAGTACTTTCCTGGAGCAGAGAAACTATGCCACAGCTTTCAACACATTATCGATGAGCACCTCGCCATGACCTTCCCCATGCCTCCACTTCTTGCCTTCAAACAACCATCAAACCTTAAACAGACCATTGCTTGCAGCAAACTACCCAGCCTTCAGGACAACATCGAGCACAACACTATACAACCTTGTCATGGCAACCTCTGCAAGACATGTCTGATTATCAACATGGACACTACCATCACACATGGGAACACCACCCACCACGTACACAGCAGGTACTCATGATTCGGCCAACGTTGTCTATCTCATACACTGCAGACAAGGATGCCCTGAGGCATGGTATCTTGGTGAGACCATGCAGACACTACAACAACGGATGAATGGACACCGCACAACAATCGCCAGACAGGGATGTTCCCTCCCAGTGGGGAAACACTTCAGTGGCCAAGGACATTCAGCTTCGGATCTTCGGGTAAACGTCCTCCAAGGTGGACTTCAGGATACACAACAACACAGAGTCGCCCAGCAGAGGCTGATAGCCAAGTTCGGTACCCATGAGGACAGCCTCAACCAGGATCTTGGTTTCATGTCACACTACAGGTTACCCTCCACACTCACTCTCTGTCGCATGCACACTCCCCCTCTCTCCCTCTCTCTCTCTTACACACAAACACATATAAATCTATGGGGTGAATTTGCATTTGCAGATTTGTAATGGTAGATATATTCTATTTTGTTCAAAATGCACACAATGTGGCATTTTATAAATTCCTACTTTGGAAATAAAACCACTCTGACTTCAAGTTGATACACAGCCAGGTTCTAAATTTGGCCTCACACCTAAAATGCATTGTCTGACCTGGGATGTCACCTCTGGTATACTGAGGGAACTGAAAACCTTTAGTTATCTCGGGGCAGTGACTTGAAAGAAATTCTGGGATTTGCATATTAATCCTTTCTAACTGATTAAAGATTTAACAGCCATCTTAGCTTTGTTCAACACTGCGTCAGTTCTATGACCCTTTGATCTTTTGCTTATAAATTCTGTGTCTGATGCTACCTCTCTCACTGACACCTGAAGGAGGAGTGAGACTGTGAAAGCTTGTGTCTTCAAATAAACATCTTGGACTTTCACCTAGCATCGTGTGATTTTTGACCTTGTCCACCCTAGTCCAACACCAGCACCTCCACATCAAAATTAGAGGTGTAGTAGACAGTGAAAAAGGTTATCTCAGAGTACAATGGGACCTTTATCAGATGGATCAAAGAGTGGCAGATGGAGTTTAATTTAGATAAATGTGAGGTTCTGCATTTTTGAAAGGCAAATCAGGGCAGGACTTATACACTTAATGATAAGGCCCAGGGGAGTGCTGCTAAACAAAGAGACCTTGGGATGCAGGTTCATCCTTGAAGGTAGAGTCGCACATAGATAGTATAGTGAAGAAGGTACACATTTGGTACACTTGCCCTTTTGGTCAGTGCACTGAGTATAGGAGTTGGGATGTCATGCTGCGACTGTATAGGACATCGGTGAGTGCACTTTTGGAATCCTGCGTGCAATTCTGCTCTCTATGCTATGGAGAGATGTTGTTAAACCTGAGAGGATGCAGAAAAAAGGGCATAGATTTAAAGTGAGAGGGGAAAGAGACCTAAGGGGCAACTTTGTCATGCAGAGGGTCATGCTTATATCATAGAATCCCTACAGTGTGGAAGCAGGCCAGTTGGCACATCAAGTTCACACCAACCCTCCAAAGAGCATCCCACCCAGATCCACCCCCAACCCTATTCCTGCATTTCCTACTCTAGACATTATATGCAATTTAGCATGGCCAATCCACCTAACCTGCACATCTTTAGACTATGGGAGGAAACCAGAGCACCCAGACGGAACCCCCGCAGACACGGAGAGAATCTGCAAACTCCACACAGACAGTCACCTGAGGCTGGAAGCAAACCCAGGTCCCTGGTGCTGTGAGGCAGTAGTGCTAACCACTGTGCCACCTTGCTGCCATGGAATAAACTTCCAGTCAAAGTGGTTGAAGTTAGTACAATTACAACATTTAAAAGGCATCTGGATGGGTACATGAATAGGAAGGGTTGAGAGGGATATGGGCCCAATGCTGGCAAATGGGACTAGATTTACGTAGGATATGTGGTCAGCATGGACAAGTTGGACCAAAGGGTCCGTTTCTGTGCTGTACAACTCTATGGCTCTAACTGGTTCTACAACTTGCCATTTTGAGCTAAGGTCATCTCTCATTCCCAGTGTCGGTGATATCCCTAATTAACAAAGCTATCTCATCACTAGCTTAGAAATGTTTAATACCCTCCAATGTTCACTTTCCAGCATTAGTCAACCTCCAGTCATATCTGCATGCTAACTATCAGGTCATACATATTTGTTCCTGTGCTAATAATTCATTGTTAAAAATGCTGCATGCATTCACTTACAGAATATTAAAGTTTGTATGTTTACCCATTTTGGAATGATGGCCTTATCTGCTGGTGCACTCCTATCTTTGTAGGCTCTTTTCCTTCAGGTCTTACACTGGTGCATGTAAGCCAAATCATGACCCTGCACTATTTCCACATCGTTTCCCCTACCATGTGGAAAGAGGGCATCCGGCCCATCAAGTTTGCAACAATCCTCCGAAGAGCATTCCACCCAGTCCCAGTCCCCACCTTATCCCCATAAGCCCATATTTACCATGGCTAATCCACCTAACCTGCACATCCCCAGCCACTACAGGGAAATTTAGTATGGCCAATCCACCTAACATGTACATCTTTGAACTTTGGGAGGAAACCTGACCACCCAGAGGAAATCCATGCAGACACAGGGAGAATGTGCAAACTCCACACAGACAGTCACCTGAGGCTGGAATCAAACCCAGGGCTCTGTGAGGCAGCAGTGCTAACCACTGAGGCACCATGCCACCCCAACTCCTCACTAACTTGTTTAAAGCCCTCTCTACTTCTCTGGTGGTATAAGTCATGGAACACTGTTTTCTTCAACCTCCCTGGAATGTTTGCTTTGACAATTAAGGGACCAGGAGGTACAGGGAGATCATTTTCAGTCACATGAATGGTGGCTATTCCGTCAAACTTGATTTTTCACAGGTTTTACCTCAATG